TGGTTATGCAGATGCAACTTATTTATCTGATCCACATATAGCTCGATCTCAAATCGGGTACGTATTTACATGTGGAGATACTATCATATCATGACGCTCCACAAAGCAATCTATTATTGCTACTTCTTCAAATCATGCTGAGATAATAGCTATTCATGAAGCAAGTAGGGAATGCGTATGGTTGAGATCAGTGAATCATTTCATTCGAGAAAAATATGGTTTGGAATGTGATAAAAGTTTCACAATTTTATACGAAGACAATGCTGCATACATAGCCTAATGAAAGGGAGGATTTATAAAAAGATATAGAACGAAGCACATTTTACCAAAATTATTCTACACACATGATCTTCAGAAAAATGACGACATCGATGTGCAACAAATCCGTTCAAGTGACAATCCGACAGATTTGTTCACTAAGTCTTTGCCAACTTCAACTTTTGAGAAGATGGTATACAAGATTGGAACGCGGAGGCTCAAATATTTGAAACAAGGTTTCATTAGGGAGAGTGAAATACGCTTTGTACTCTTTTTTCCTTACTAAGATTTTTCCCATGAGATTTTTCTTGTAAGGTTTTTAATGAGGCAGCTAGAAATGCGTATTACTATGTATGTGTACTCTTTTTCCTTTACTAGATTTTTTTCACTGGGTTTTTTCTAGTAAGGTTTTAACGAGACACATTATCTTTAATGAACATCCAAGGGGGAGTGTTATGAAACTATTATTTGTGGATGTCCATTTATTACTCTGCTATAGATAATCTTCCTGAAGAAGATTATCCATTTAGTACTCTGTTGAAGTTTATCTACAAGCAGCTGATGCAGGCAGGTTGCAAGCAACTCAATGAAATGATTTGCATCAACTTCTTATTAAACAGGCAGGTTGCGAGCAGCTCATGCAGACAACTTACAAGTAGCTGAAGAAAAGTCTCGCAGGTGCTTCCTGAAAAGCCTCGCATCTGCTTCCTGAAAAGCATCGCAGCTGCTTCCTTTCTTCTATAAATAGAGGAGTTTTCAGTTCAATANATCTTTATTTTACAACAGATTCGTATTTCTTTATAACTATTCATCATGCATTTGTTAATTAACTTAAAAAAGAAAATATGATTTCCAAACTTTGATCCATTAGCTAATTCACGTGTACAGTTTTTTACATTTCTTGATATTGATCCAAGTATTGAATTAGTTACTTGGTATATTTAAGCTAGTCGATAATAAATATTGCATGAAATAAAAGTAGTAGTTTAAATATATCGTTAACTAGGGGCGTATATAGGTCGGGTTGGTTCGAATTTTTTAATTACCAAACCAAATCAATTATATCGGGTTATTAAATGTAAAGACCAAACCAAACCAATCAAAGTCGGATTTTTAAATCTCGTTTTTTCTCGAATTTTTCGGGTTTTCGGGTTGTTTCATTTTTTTTCATAAAGTCTTTCATAGAACAAAATATATAATTTGTGCTCCAAATATTTCTTTAATCCTAGTAAGGCAGAACTATATAAGGTATTTTTTAATAAAATAACATAAATATGAGATGATTCATGGCATTGTACTAAAATATTCAACAATAAAGACGAGAAAGTTGCATAAAATAAATATTATTAGTAAGCTATAATGAATACAAACATAATTTAAAATTGCTAATAAGTTGCTAAAATAAGTACGACTAATAAGTACTATTATTTACATGACTAAACACTAAAAGAAAAATAAGTTATGCATTTTATCTAAACCATGAAAAAACTAAAAAAATAGATATCCAACACTATTTTCATTCATAGTACAATTGAATTGAATGTCTTTTATTATCATTAGTATTGATTTGATTTTTGTTTAGGATTTATTTGAGTTACTAACATTTATGGACTATAAAACTTATTGGAGCATCCAACAATTATAAGTCCAAACTTGAAATAATACGTTAAAAAAATAAAATTATGAAAAAATTTAAGAAATATTTATAAACTACACTACAATAAGTATTTTCATGTATTAAATATATTTAAAGCTTATATATATATATATATATATATAATGTCGGGTTGGTTTGGTTTCGATTTGACTTTTTTTAGTTAAAACCAAACCAAACCAAATATCGTCGGGTTTTATTTTCCAACACCAAACCAATCAAACCAAACCATAGTCAGATTTTTTTCTCGGATTATCGGGTTAGTGCGGTTTGTCGGTTTTATTTGTACACCCCTAACGTTAATCATAGCTGGGTCTTTTTTAGACACTCTAAAATAGTGGGAGAGGCCTTGTTCCAACCTGCACGTGTAACGAAAGCTAAATGTTCTACTCCCTCCGTTCACTTTTACTTATTTACCATACTAAAAAATATATTTTCGTTTTTACTTGTCATCTATATTAAATCAAGAGAAAGATAAAAAAAAAATTCCTGTTTTATCATTATCATTAACTATTCATTCTCCAAATCATTTTTCAAGAATTTTGAAAATATATATTATTATGGATAAAATTGTAAAATATATATTTCATTTGTTTTTTATTAAAAAGAGTGCAAAATGAACAATTAAAAATTAACATATGGAGTATTTTATTTGGAAATTACAGCTCAACAATGAAAAGACAACTAGTAAGTACTAATTGTAAGAAGAGCTCCAATTTAGATTCACTCATTTCAAGTTGGAACTCCATTAATGACAAGGGCAAATACAGGGCAATTGACTAATGTCAAAAGCATGAATGGACCAAAACTTAAGGGCAAAATTGAGAAATTACACCAGATATTACAATGACAAGCTTGAACATTTTCTCGAAGTTAAACATGCATTTTGTTTTGGATAAGTCAACTAGAAACTAGAAACAGATCGAAAAAACAAAAAGTATTTAGTAGGAATTGATTCATATTCTTTTGAATAAATAAATTAATATTCAATCAAGTGTATCATTCAACCTTTATGGAACACGAAAGTTAATAAATAATATTAGACTAATTCTAAAAAATAATATATAAACTACCCGCCCCGCTAGCAAGTAGCAACCATGTTAAAATGCAGTAAATGGCGCAAATATGTTTATTTTCAAACTCTAAGATGACTTACAAAATGGCTCACTATGCTTGTCCGTCGTCTCTACAGTAGATCTTATTATATACTAACAGAGATGGAGTCGTGGAAACAGAGAGACAGTCAACCGTCAGCTTATACGAAAACCTGGTTCTGATTTGTACAAAAGGTACTAAATATTTTCTTCAGTGCATGTAAAGAAAATCTTCTTTATTCTCTGAAAAGTTATAAGTATATCTCACGAAGGATGAGTTGAAATTCCAAAAATTATAACTAACCTTTTTCATTCAATTAATAGGTGCTTGTAAAAAATAAAAACCTCAAATACCAAAGCAAATTATTTCCTCACCACCAGTATTCCTCAGTCAGAGCTTGTTCTTGTCGCACGGGACTTGCCTAGTGCGATTTATGTTTCCTGTGTGGTTTGCAAACTATTACACATTGAACATGTTACTCAAAAGGGTAGCGACTGCGGGATTTTCTGAAAAATTTCCACAAAGCAAAAAAAAAGAATATTCCCTCAATTTCAATTTATGTGAAACTGTTTGACTGGATACGTAGTTTAAGAAAAAAATGAAGACTTTTGAAATTTGTGGTCCTAAACAATTCAAAAAGGGGCTCAGAATATTTGTGTGGTTATAAAAACTTCTCAATAAGGGTAGAATTGTAAGTTTAAGTAAAATTATTTCTAAATTTAAAAAGGGATCATTCTTTTTTTAACGGACCAAAAAGAAAATAGATTTACGTAAACCGGAAAGGAGTTAGTAAGAAGTTATTCTTCTGTTTTATTTTGGAACAGGTGACTGACTTATTCCAAAGTTAGTGCTGATAGCTGATCACAACCTAAAGGTGATTTACAATTGCTCAAATTCTGTTCTATTTTTTGCTGTAAATACCCCCAAATTGCTGTCGGATGCCTCTTGAATAGTGGCCAAAATGTGGATACTTCGCTTCCGTAAGTTTTGAATTCTGTTGTTTTCGTTATTTCATTTGTGATAAAAAGGTGCCTGGAAAAAATTTGAAAATTAATTAGATTCTCTATTTATTTAGGACCTCAGATAAGCAAAAAGGGAATGGCGTGCTCTTCTAGTTATTGTCTCTTTTCATTTTTAATTATTTCGTTTTCACTCTTTTTGTTAAGTATTGCATTAAATTCAGTTCTTGGAATCCATGAATCAAAATTTTCTCCATCTTTTGAAGCAAGAATGGCACCATTTGAAGTTAAAGAATCAAAATAAGATTTCTAAAGCACCAATTCTCTGCTTTTGTGCTTTAGATTTGAGTTTCGGCTTTGCCATCATAAAAATGGGTCCTTCAGAAAACTTATACTAATAGTGCAATTGTGCTTTACTTTAGTGATTAGCAATTTAGCATCGGAAAATGTATAAATATAAAATGCAGTTCTTTGCCTTTTGCTTTAATCTCTGATTGGAATAACTAAAATTATAAATGACCTTACCTTTTGATTATCTTATCCATTTTTCAGGTTGCTTGTCATAGTAATAGGCAGTATACTAAAGCCACAACGGACCCTAAAGCAGCATCCAAACTGTTACGCGACGTCTTTCAGAGATTTCTTGGAAGAGCGACATAAGACTAGGCAACCAATGTCCGTGTAGTTACTATTCGCCAACTAGGGTCCCCTCCGTATGCTAAACGAGATTGTCAGTGGGTACGGGAAAATCAATGTCAAGGGTAATTGAGAGAACAAAAAAGAAAATTGAGAATGAAAGAAAGCTTGATTACATTAATGAAAGCTATTACAGAAAAGCAACACGGTGTCGAGAGGGAGAGACACCAGTATAGAGAATTATTTGCTTACTAGAAAATTTGATTGCTTGATCCCCTTAATAGTACTTAAAAAAAATAAACTAAAGTTACAGGACTTGAAATAACTAAGCTAGAGAGACATAATGAAAATACATGAAGTAAAACTACTCTATATTTACAATAGAATGACTTAGATTCCTACAAAGCAGCAGCAGATCCGTTGGCAGCAACCTTGTCTTTAGCATCAGAGTCTGCGTGCGCGACGCTGTTGGCATCTGTCTGCGGCTGGGCGCTGGCGAGGGCTATCGGTAGGGTGACATAGGCATAGGCGCGTTTGTCACTTGGCACGGCCAGACCACGGGGCCTTCCATGGCGCTTGGCATTGAGAGGTTTGCCAGAATGCCATGGGGTATGTCCAAGGGGTCATGGGGCATGGCTGGAAAGCCGCCCATGTTCTCCCTCACCTGAGTTGGCGACGTCCTCGGCGCCTTACTTGCAAGATAATCTTTGATCAGGCTCGTGTAAGCTTTAAGGTTTGTTCCCCTCTCCCAAGTATTCTCCTCTGCATCACAGCCTTGCCATTTTACCAGGAACTCTTGGTGATCTTTCCTTGAAGCACAAATCACTCGATCATCGAGAATATCTTCTACTCGCCTTTTCCCAGTTGAATTTGGGCCTCGAATACTGGGTATTGTGAGTTGGCTCAGCGAAGGATCCTCCATGTCTTCCGGAAAAGGTTTCAGAAGGCTGACATGAAAGACCGGATGAATCTTCCACCAGGCTGGGGTATGCAACTTTCCCAATGCGCTTCTCAATGGACAAGGGTCCAATGTACTTTTATCAATAGGCGAGGGTCATGGACCCTTGCAAACAAGTACCGCTTTGAGATTTTTACCATCACTTTGTCTCCTACTTGATATTCAATAAAGCAACGATTTTGATCAGCATACTTTTTCATCCGCTTCTAGGATTTGACAAGATAGCTCCGCACTATTTTCAAATTTCGCTTCCATTCCTTCGAGAAGCTAGCAACTTAAGGAGATTTCGATATGTTTGGGGCATTCATAGTGTGTGGGAGTAGCGGTTGTTGTCCGATAACAATTTTAAAAGCGCTTTTGTTTGTACTAGAGCTCTTTTGTGAATTGAAACACAATTGAGCAGTATCGAGAAGCTTCACCCAATTCTTTTGCAATCCGGTAACAAAATGGCGGATATATTCCCCCAGCATGCCATTGAACCGCTCCGTCTGGCCATCAGATTGTGGATGGAAACTTGAACTATGGCTCAATTTGCTACCCTACAGTACCCAAGGTCCATAGAGATAAATTTAAACCTAGAACCATACCTCATGTCTATGTTGGATATCCTTTTGGGGTAAAAAGGTACAAAGTGCTCAGTCTGGCCACTAAGAAAACACATGTATCTAGAGATGTAATGTTTAATGAAAATGTCTTTCCTTTCAGTATGTCCCAGGATACTGCTTCCTTCTACTCTCTTCTCAAATCTATTCCTTTTATTGATCATGTGTCAAGTGACAATGAGCGGACTCAAGCTAATGAGCAAAATGATAAAGGGGTTCCAGATGTCACACATCCAGATCTGTCATCTGATCCATCCCCCTCACCACACTCTCCTAACACTGTAGATTTACCTGTTCCAGATAACTCACCAAGTAATTCACCAATAAGCTCTATAAGAAATACCTCACCTGAGCATGTTTTGCAGCCAAGACAATCTCATAGAACACACAAAGTTCCCACATACTTGAAGGACTATGTCCATAAATTACCCTAGCTGAAACCAAATATCAGTGAACACAACACCAATGATCAAACCAATGCACCCCTTTTCTCTTAATGCTTTGTTTTCTCTCCACCGTCATATACGTGTTGAGAATCTAAGCCAGGACAGTTAGTACTTTGTGAGAAGTATTTGCAGTGATAAAAAGCCTACTTCATATGAAAAAGCAGCTGTGAATCCTGCCTGGCAAGCAGCCATGACACAAGATTTTGAAGCATTGCATGCCAATAACACCTGGGATCTAGTACCACTACTAGTTGGGAAACAAGCCATAGGGTGTAAGTGGGTGTATAAAGTGAAACATAAGGAAGATGGTAACATAGAGATGTTCAAGGCTAGGTTGGTGGTAAAGGGCTATACCTAGCAAGCTAGAATTGATTACACATAAACATTCAGCCATGTGGTGAAAATCACAACAGTGAGGGCCCTCATAGCTGCTGCAATCAAGAAAGGCTGGGACATATTCTAGTTAGATGTGAGTAATGCCTTTCTTCATGGGGATCTCCATGAATAGGTATATATGGAAGTACCACAAGGCTTAATAGTAGACAGTGAAAATTTGGTATGCAAACTCAAGAAGTCCTTGTATGGTCTTAAGCAAGCATGTAGACAGTGGTATGCCAAATTAGGTGAAGCACTGTGTTGCAAAGGATACCCTTATTCTATGTATGGTTACTCACTTTTCTACAAGAAGACATTTGAGTCAACAGTATATGTGGCAGTATAGATGTAATCTTGACAGGAATAAATAAAAAAGAAATAGAGGAGCTGAAGGCATTTCTACATGACAGCTTCAAAATCAAATACATGTGAAAACTTCACTACTTTCTGGGGCTGGAGATACTCTATAAGGCTAATGGAGTTGTAATCTCAAAAGAAAATTTGTGCTTGATCTTTTAAAGGAGTACAATTGTATGGATTATAGTAGCTTTCCTTCACCACTTGATCCAACGGTGAAGTTGAAAGCTAAAGAGGGCACTGCCTTAACTGATCCAACCTATTACAGGAAACTAATAGGAAAATTAAACTTCCTTACCAACACAAGGATATACATAGCTTATAGTGTACAACACCTTAGCCAATTCATGCAAGATCCAAGAGAACCCCCACTTGAAAGCAACTTTTCACTTACTCAGGTACTTGAAGGGTGATCCCACAATGGGGATCTTCATGTTACATGATCCAAACTGCAACATCAAAGCTTATTGTAACTCTGATTGGGCTGCTTGCCCAAACTCAAGGAAGTAAGTGAGTGGATACATAATGCTATTAGGAAATAGTCCTGTGTGCTGAAAATCTAAGAAGCAAGAGACTATTTCACTATCATAAGCAGAGGCAGAATGCAGGGCACTCATTAAAGTAGTAGGGGAGCTAGTATGGCTATGCAGACTACTTGAAGAACTTATTGTGCCCTTTGCTAAACCTGTAGAAGTTTTTTGTGAAAGCCAATCAGTTTTACACATAGCTAGAAACCCTGTGTTTCATGAGAAGACTAAGCACATAGAGGTGGACGGTCATTTTGTAAGAAATAAGCTACAGGAAGGGCTGATTTCACTCCACCATGTAGCAACAGACAATCAGTTGGTTGATGTTCTCACCAAGACCCTAACAAGAATAAAGCATTCATCGATATTGGGCAAGTTGGCAGTGTTTACAACACTTTCAACTTGAGGGAGGGGTGTGTGTGTGTTGAGAATTGTATAATTATACTTTCATATGTAATGTTAGTTAGTTGTACAGTTAGTAGTGTTAGTTAGTGGGCCAGCTCAACATTAGTTGTAATTTGGTATTACACGTGTATATACTTTGTACTACACTGAGAAATAAAGGTGAGCTTTCACTTTCCCAATTCCTGTTTCTCTCTCATGACTTCTCTCTCATGGATCGAGCTTCAAGCTCATCATCAACCACAAATTTAACAAGAAGCATGGATTTTGTTCAAAGAGAAAGCAGGTCAATCTGTGAATGATCCTAATTTGTATACAATAGCAAGAGATGTTGCAGATGAATGCAAGGGCCTTCCTATTGCCCTTATAACTGTTGGCAGGGCTCTTAAAGATAGAGGCAAGACTTTTTGGGAGTATGCACTTCTCCAGCTAAAAAGGAACGTTCCGACAAATATCCCGGGACTACTTATGGATGTGTATCGGCCTCTGGAGTTGAGTTACACTCGTCTGGAAAGTAATGAAACTAGGTACCTTTTTCTTCTCTATACTTTGTTTAAAGAAGATGTTGATATTTACCTTGAAGATATAATTAGATATGGAATGGGACTTAGCATGTTTAGAGGTATCAATAACTTGGAAGAAGCAAGGAATAGAGAATATGCATCAGTTGAGATACTCAAAGATCGTTTCTTTCTAGTAGAGTCTGAAAAAGGATATGTCAAAATGCACAACGTAGTTTGTGATGTGGCAATGTCTATTGCATCTAAGGATAATGGTTTCTTGGTATGCCATGATAGAAGCTTGATTGAATGGACACGGAATGAAAACTGTACTTGCATTTCAGTACATCTTTGGTCATAAATTGCTTTTCCGGAACTGTTAACTTTTCCGAGACTTCAATTATTGCTCTTACAAGGCTAATTATCCACTTTCTATTTTCCTATTTTCAAAGTCTTACCAGCTAGATAGTTTCTTCAAGGAATGAACACCTTAGGGGTCTTAGAATTAGAGTATGTGCGTTTTCTAGCACTACCCTCATCACTTACATATCTGCAAAATCTTCGAACATTACATCTTCGTAGTTGTTATTTGGGAGATATTTCCATCATTGGGGATTTGAGAAGTTTAGAAATTCTTAGCTCTTCCTATTCGATAGTAAGGACTGAGGATGTACCTGCACAAATAGGAAGGTTGTGTAATCTAAGATTGTTGGATCTGACATGTTGCAAGAGGGAATATAATACTAGTGATTCATTAAATATTGAAAAAGTTACAATATCAGGCCTATCTCATTTGGAAGAACTTCACATGTTAAACAACTTTGAAAAGTGGGATGAAAATGCCATCAAGGAGCTAGAATGCTTAGTAAAATTGAAGGTGCTACAAATTGAAAACTCAGATCTAAGAGAGGTTATCAACAAAGAACTTGGATTTCCTTCCAACCATAGAAGATTTGCTATATCAGTAGGAAAAAAGTTCGAAGACTGTGATAAGAATTGCCTGGATCCAAACAATTTTGTTGTGAGTTCTCTGTCTTTGGACATTCCTATCGAGGTTCTTCTTTTAGGGCAATAGGTACGCCTCTTGTTGGAACATACAAAATATTTATACTTGAAAGGTGAGGGTTCGACGGATGCCATAAAAGAATTGGCTCCAAAGGGATTTAAGCACATGAGACAGAATGGTGCAGTAAACTGGAAACTCTTGTTGATTCTTCAATCAATTGGCTTCCCATTTTTCCAGATCTTGAATAAGCTTAATTATCTGTTTAACCTAAGATCAATTTGCGATGGAGATACGGATGGTCTTGTGCATTTCTGGAAGGGTGCTGTTGATCATCTTAGGGACGGGATAGAAAGACTCTTCACTTGCTTCTTCGGTAATCTTCAGAATCTCAAAATATCTCGGTATTGTTCGAGTAGTTACAAAAGTTTTTTCCCTGCACTAGGAGCTGAAGGCCTTGTTAATCTTACAAGAATAAAAATTTCTGAGATCTGGGGGATGGAACAAGTGATGGGGGGAAAGGTGAAGAAACTGAAAAACAAAAAGGAATTACTACACCAAAAAATGTGATGCCTAAGCTGGCACGTCTTTCTCTTAGATATGTCAACGACTTGAGGAGCTTTAGCCCAACCAAACAATGTTGGGAATTGCCATCATTGCAATCTGTACATATCGATGGTTGGGTCGAGATGACAACATTCACCATGGAATGCCTAAAAACACCCACATTGGAAGAGATCTCTCTAGACAAGTGAGATTGAGGAGAAAGACCTCAATGGGGCCATTCATCGTCAATTCACACTATCTATCGTGTTTCTCTTTTACACGCCTCTTAAAAAATATTAATTAAGAAGGGAGTTGGACTATTTTACCCTTATTTATGTCTTAATATATAATCTCTTTTCATTGAATATTTATTTTATTTATATGTCATCTCCATCTTCAAGAACAATTATTATTTAAGATAAAATGTAAAAAATATAATTTAATTTGCCTTAAACTTCCAAAATGACATATCATTCGACAACTATTTTTAGAAAGCCGACAGATCATTTGAGACGGAGGGAGTACTAGTCCATGTGTTCGATATGTTTGTCAATCTTTGCATTTTCCCCTACAAACATTTCAACTTTTGCTTCCCAAATTTCTAGCAACATTCAGAATTTTGTCTACCTTTTGTGTAATGCTTTTTTACACATAAACATTCTTATTTTTTCATTCTATTTTCAAATTTGTGCTGTCTCTTCAGTCTGCTTTTGAGAGTTCACTAGTGAAAAATACTTTGACCCTTTACTTTAATCACTAGCTTCCGCATGTTTTTCAGTTTAATAGATTAGTGCAAATATACTATTCCCGGACCTTTTTATATTTTGATATATTCATAAAAAGAATTTAATAGTATTAGTTATGAAAAGCATTTGACTAGTTTATCCTTCTTTCTTCCTTAAATGAAAAACTCTTTAACTTCAGCATCTATGTTAATTAGGTCCATTTTTGAATATTACTTTGGTATGATCTCTTTATTTGGTCCGTTTCCAAACGCTACTTTGTTTTTTCCCCCAAAAAATACACTCTTTAATATCGCACTGGTTTTTTTCATACTCTGCCCATGGTTTTTTTACTCTTTATTGGGATGGAACAGATGGGTTTGCCGTTATATCTTGTTTATTATTGTTTTTCGCGGCTTATGTGTTCCTTTTGCTTAGCCTCAAAGCCTTATCATCCGCGTTCCTTTTTTTTTTTTTGGCTTAACTCAAGTATTGTTATTGTTGTTCTTATTATTACAAGTTCATATAATTCTGGTATATTACTAATATTCTGTACTAAACTTTCTTTAGAATAAGGAAATAGAAATAGAAGAAGGAGATGCTGATACTTAGAATCAAGAAGAAAAAGAAGAGGCGGATGCTGGTGTTGCTGACCTTAAGCGGGGAGGCGGTCATCGGATGACTTCTTTTGGAATGTAAAATTCGCCATAATGAAGTAATTAGTCGTGTTGTTGTGGTTGATCGTTATGCTCTCCTTGCATTGCAGTGAATGAGGAAGAAGAAGATGACGATGAGGAGGTACTGAAAGTTGATTACTTCAATAGTTTTCTAGTATTTGTTAAAATAATCTGAAGAAATTAGTTTGTACGTACAATACATTTATTTTAGTCTCTAGAATAACATGGCATTGTGCAAATGAATCATATTGATGTTCTAGTTCTCAAGCTTTTATATCACTAGCTAGAAAATCATGTATTGAGGCCAAAATTAACCTTTTCCATTGCAAATGAAGACTGAATAATATTTAGCAAATGCGCAAAAGCATATCATTTTGTGATTAGTGAACTTTTCAGTTTTTTAACTTCCCATTGCTTTCAGCTCGATTCGAAGTACATATGCAGAAAACTTCATGCTTGTGAAATATATAAATTAGATTCATTTTGAACCCACTGAATATAAATCCTTGATTCATATCTGCCTATATCAAGCAACTAACTGTTCCTCCTTCACTAACATAGCATATTCTTTGGTGCGAGTGTGTTTATTATATATGCTCAAATGAACCAAGAAACAGTCGCAAAATATTGGTCTAAGGAAACAAAATCTTTAAGAACCATACAAGTAGTGCTGATGAGAAACCTACTAAGATTACTGTGTAAAAAAGATGGTTTTACCAATAATTTGTTATCCAAAGATAGTATGGAGTAGTGAATTCTTTCTAACATTCTATAAATGAAGAAGCAGGAAAATATTTTTTAACCAACAAAATCATGAAGCAGCTGCCCTCCAATAATATTATTATCTCTTCCTAACTGACGATTTTGTGTTTCAAATCCACCAAACATGAATCCTTCGTTATTTGCATCGATACCAAAACGCCGAGCTGCATTTCTTGGGAAGGAACCTGATAAACCAATACTTACATTATTGTTCTGATGAAGTCCCAATGTTAACGACACGCCACCATTTCCAGCTGATGCACTCATTTGATCAATTCCCACATGAGAATGAGGCGAAAAATTGTCATACGATAAATTCATCGTCTCCTGATCATCACCTCCTAAATGAGTTTCACTTGGATCATTATTTCGTGTTCGCTTTGATGGAACATCATGAAATTGTTGTGAAGACGTAGATGGATGTTCAGATGGAAGTGAATTACTCGTTGGAAAATGTTCGATGGGATTGTTTTTGTTTTGTCCCTCTCTTTGTGAAGCTGCTTTCTGAGCTTGCCGAGTTTCAAGATTGTGTATCTCTTCTACCATAGGCTTCCATAGTCTAACTCTCGCATTGATGAACCAGTTAGAAACCTGATCCATTAGTAAAATATTGAATTAGATAAGGTAGATGCAAGCAAAAAACGTCTAACTATTATATATATACTGACAGTGTAAAAGAACTTTTTACATCGTCAGGTCAACTAAAAGGTAATTATAGGTAACTTCTCATAAAAAGTGAGATTAGTAACGTAAAAAATATGACAAGTTACATGTTACGACAAGTTAAAATACATTAAAAATTTCTGCATCCGGCTATTCAAGGATGATAATCAGGGTATCAATATGAAAAATGCACACCTGATTCCTTGAAAGACCAGTCTGTTTCGCCAACATTACTTTGTCAGAGTCTGTGGGATAACTGCAACAGCATCAACACTAGAGTTAAAAGTACAGCGACAAAACTCTAACTTTTCCCATATCATCTTTGAATCAAGAAAACTTAGAGAGCTAACTAGATTGTTAGAATTTTAGACAGCAAATTTCCTATTCTGCAATTTTTTATATTACATGTTGTTTCCTTTACGTCGGCTATCTTATTATTTTGTTGTCTTTACTATTTTGTTTCTCTCCAGTATTTCCAACATGGCCACTTTGTTTTTCAAACTTCACTACTGCTCTTTTTTCAAACTTGCTTTGTTTTTTTTCTTTGAGCCGAGTGTGGAAACAACCTCTCTACCTCATTATAGGTAGTTGTAAGTTCTGCGTACACAATACCTTCCCCAGACTCCACTTGTGAGATTGCACTTGGTGTGTTGTAATTTAGATAGCAAATTAAAGCATTCTCAAGCTCACTAGAAGGAAGCTCAACTCCAATAAAATGCTGGACAAGGGTACTAATGTGTTTTTCAACATACATCTATTCCAGTACATGTTTTACACTTATAACTCCATACTTGCACCATTTTTTCAAATACACTAACAAAACCATTAACAAATAAATGCATCCTTAAACAAATACATGCATCCTTAAGCAAATACTTGTAGTTTCCTAATTCGTAAACCAAGTAGATGACCAATAACAACAACAATAACATATCCAGTGTAATCTCACAAGTGGGGTCTGGGGAAGTAGTGCGCATGCAGGCTTAACTCACCTTGTGTAGGTAGAAAGGTTGTTTCCGAAAGACCCTCAGATCAAAACAAGTAGGTATAATCACAATAGTATAGATATAGAAATGCAGTAGTGGATAAGTCAAAGAAGCAATAACAAGAGGAAGATAATAGAAAAATCGAAACAAAAGCAACATCAATAGTAATAGAAATCCAAAAATATGAAAATACGAGAATAACGCTACTACTACTGGAACAAAAGGAACGACGCTCGACTAACCACCTACCTTCTATCCTAATTCTCGACCTCCACACCCTCTTTTCAAGGGTCATGAACATAGTTTATTAATTCAACATATATGAAGTTGCCATGATTGTAACCGCTATGCATTGACAGTATATAACTCTTTTTACACAATCAAATAAGATGGCCTACAACAACATGCAACTCTCTATAATATAAGCCTAATTTGATAATACAGAAATAAACTCTCTATAATAAGCCTTATTCTGTGGTATTAGAAAATAAAGTAAATGGCCTGCTATGATAAGTTAAAATGCATTACACTATCGGTGTATACAAGTTAAATCCAATTGATATTACTTACGGGTGCAAAAAATGGTCAAACAACCATGCCCGGAGAACAATTACTGCACGCTCCGGTAGCCCTCTTTGTGGTCGCCAAACAGGCTGATGGTCAACAAATCCAGCATTATGAATTGCTTGTCTTTGGAAATAAATGTCTTTCCCTGCAGGATTTCCAGCTCTCGGGATTGAATTATCACTTTCGCAATTTGGAGATTTGCCTGTGTACTGCAGTTGGTCAGTGATGGCATTTTTAAGGCACCTAAAGTGTTTGGACAAAGCTTTTAGAGACAGTTTTGCAAATGGTGCGGCATTCCCAAGTCCAGGAACAGATTCAAAAGATGCCACAACTGCTTGTAGCTGTTGATAGTACTGCTTATACCTTCTGTAAACCTGATGAACATCACCCTAAAGATTTGTCAAGAATACAAGGAGAGATTTCCTTAAAATTAATTGAAATCTTAAGTGATGCAAAAAGTTCATCTGAATAGCTTAGGTATACTTCTCTTTTTCATAATCGCAAATCTATGAGGGTCAATGACATCAAAATTCACTGGATATATAGCGCAAAGTTCAAGCACGCGTAATCCACACATCATGTATTGCGCTCTTAACATGAGACCAAAGCCCTTGGCTAAGTATGAATACTTCTTATAAGCCATAAATATAAGAGTGACAGTACGTCCAAGAAGTAAATGGAATATGAATATGCTAAATTGCCTGAAAATAACTCATAGCTAGCTCATACCACATTTGAGAAAAGAGATTTATCAGATAAATATCAAGTGTATTGAGCAATTGAGAACTGGTACCAAAGTCGATCAAGGTTTTTTTATTGCATTGGGTTTGGATGACTTTCTGAAGCCCTTCAGATAAAACTTAATTATTGCATATCATTGTCAATTTTTGTTATGTCATTTTTCCAGTTACTGATGAATTCAGTAATATTCATTTATTACTGATAGTAGCAATATTCTTCTGGGCTATTGTCCCGTCACATCCTCGAACCATGAGAGCACAAGCAATTGAAACATTTTCAGCTCAAGTTCATCAAATTAAAGCACATTACAAATTTCCCTATATGAGACGAAAATACCTACACTTCAATTAAAGTCTAAGATAATTTAGTACCTCGCTCTATGGAATAAAAAGGATCATGAGGTGTACATTAATCAATAACACTTTTAATGAAGTAATTAACATTGCGCAATCTTTTAATAGCCTCTTGGACACTGACAAGATTCTTCCACCAATCACAGCAAGTGATTGAGTAACTTTGCGATGGAAAAAGTTGTTGTCAACACGAGCCAAAGAATTGAAGAAATGTTCAAAATTAAGTGAAGCAAAAGAAAGAAATATAAGGTGGGGATTACCTTCTCAAGCATTATGCTTCAGCAAGGTTAATGAAATGTAGGTTAGTAACACGAGAAAAAAAATTGTTAATTTGGAAAAATACGGTGAAGATGATGGAGATTTTTTACCCTGCCATACTTAAACCATGTAGTTTATGATAATTTTAAGAACTTAGTGGGTGTTTGGACATAAGAATTGTAAAATTCCAAAAACAAAAGTGAAAATTTTTTTCAAGTAAAAATGGTATTTGAAAATTAGAATTGTGTTTGGACATAAATATAATTTTGGATTGTTTTTAAAGTTTTGTGAGTAATCTGAGTGAATTTTGAAAAACAGTTTTTTGAAATTTTTCAAAATTTCGAAAAATTCCAAAATGCATCTTCAACTGAAAATTGAAATTTTTATAAACAAACGCTGATTTCGAAAAAAGTGAAAAGTTTTTGAAAAAAAGAGAAAAATTTCTTATGTCCAAACGGGCTGTTAATTTGATATATTCCAACGCATTTAAAAGGGAAAATAAGAGGAGGAAAGAGGGTCTTGAATAATTTGTCCCCATAGTAAATCTTTTCAGATAGATTCCCCTAATCTCTTCATCCACAATACGGCCAAACTAAGTTTCATATAACCTATATTAGAAACTCTTTCTAAATACTTGTCAGCCACTTTAAGGAACCAATTAGTGCATATATTCCCCTCAATCACTTTTTTCCAAAAAGATGATTTAGTGATCGAACTTATATGCCTAA